AATTTTGACAACTTTGAAGAGGCAAATACGATTGACTAAGGGTGAAATGGTCGGTTTTGTCTTTGCAAACGGAACTCTTTAATAAAACAGTTTGGTGTCACTAACTACATTTTTCACAAGATGTTCATCACCATTACTTGATCAAAACACACTGAGACGACAGAAAACAGTCAAAATTTTTATATTTGATCCTTGTATTATTATTATATCCTTTATTTCCTACAGGAACATAGGGCTTCAGCCCCACGTCTCCATTGAGTTATGTTCTCTGCTAGAGTCTTCACCTGGTTCCAAGTCTGCCCACACGTTTTCATCTCCTCTTCACATGACCTCCTCCAAGTCACCCTTGGACGACCAACTCACCGCTTCTTTTTCGGGTCCCACTCAAGGACTTGTCTAGTGATGTCACTTGATGGTTTCCTCAGAGTATGGCCAATCCATCTCCATTTCTTCCTGTCTATTTGTTTCACAATCGGTTCCTGGTTGGTTCGCTCCCAGAGATCCCTCACTATTGCTGATCTTTTCTGGCCATCTGATCTTGAGTATTGAGCAAAGATAGCTGCTGATGAAGGTCTGTAGTTTGTTTGAGATGCTCTTTATGACGCGCAGTTTAAGTCTCTGATCCATATAGTAGCACTGACTTCACATTGGAGTTGAAAATCCGGATCTTATTTTTGATGCTGAGTGCTGTTGACCTCCACACAGACTTGAGAGTAGTGAAAGCTTGTCTTGCTTTTCCGATTCTTGCTTTGATATACTCGTCAGTTCCGCCTGTAGTTGAAACGATGCTTCCCAGGTAGGTAAAGGAGGTTGTTTCTTTCAGGTTCCTCCCATTTATGCTGATTGTTGTCAGTTGTTGTTGTTGCTGTCGGTGGTGTTGCCCAGGAATTTTCACTTCTGTTTTATCTATGTTCACCTGAAGTCCTATCTTTGATGCTTCTTCTGCTAACTTGTTGCTTTTCGCTTGCATATCTTCCAGTTTGTGGGAAATCAGACATATATATTATTTATAAATTAGTTTTACTATACAGTATTTATACTGTGCAACAAGTGATGATACAATAATCATTTGGAGCAGATTTACTGACTGACAAATGGTAAATTGGACGTTTTTTTTACAATCGTTTCTGTTTAAAGTGGAATCATTGAAAACCATACTAATAAGTGTTTAAGATAATATGAATGAACTAAATGAAGACTATATTTACCCGTTTTTCATTTCAACAGGTCTGAATTCCCCAATGAAAATGCATGCGAAAACTACAATTCACCTCTCTTTTAGTTAACTGTTGTATGTTCGAATTTGTTTTATTTATTAAATCTAACCTAGATATGAATATATGCCATGAGTCCATTGTAGCTTTGAAATGCCTCAGCTAAATAAAACTGTGTATTTAATTAAGTCTTTCCTTGTTGGCTAGGTGTTGCTAGAGTTGAAAAAGCAGCGAGGCATTTTTTCGCCCAAATACTCAATCTATTTGAGTTACTGGCATTGTTTTAAAACTAGACTCGTTGTTAATACTGATGATTTTATTTCATTGATAAAACAACTAACGAAAACAAATATTCTGATAAACCTGTAAACTATTACTAATAATTAGCATAAATAGTATACAATATTGTGTTTTATTTAATTACAATTTAAAGGTGCAGTAATATTATTACTATTTTGTGCTTAGTGAGTTTAGAAAACCACATGACTTATCCATTAATTAGGTTTATAAATTCAGTGTGACAACGTTACATTTCTATACATGTAATTTAAGTGTTCGAAGCTATAACTGAACTATAAAGAAAGAATTATCTATTCTAGATGTTGGAATATCATTCTTTTTTTCTTAATGCTATGAATATACTTTGAATACAGATATGTATATGTTTAGAAGATATGTACAAGTGGGGTATATGACTACATATTCTCTCAGTATTAATATTAGTATTGTGTAAATGATATAATCACTGAATAAAGTAATAAGTGCTTATAGTCTGTGTGCTAATTGCGTGTACATAATATATAACGTATTAATTCATTTCAATGTCAGCTGATTGCATTTTTAATGAAAGAAGACATTTCATTGTAGGTCAGGTGAATCCATTGCTGAAGATTTCAACTAAGTGAGTGGTATTGCATAATCTAATAAAATACAAACATAGTAAATATTGCATATTTGTATATTTAAAATTAAAATTAACCTCTTAATTCACTTATAATGCATTTATTATATTAAATGAATTTCATTTATTTAGATGATAGTATATCTTATAAGTAGAATAATGAGACACAGCTAATTAAGTATCTAAGAATAATAATAAAGCTTTATTTCAGACAATATGCGAAAATATGGTACACAAAGTTGTGGCGTATTTAGTTCCAAAATGCTTTTTTCTTCATACAGAGTTTACATGTAAAGTGATAATCTGAAAAATATCTTCATTTTGTTGAAGAATTGCACAGTGTTTATGTGGAAGCAAGTTAAACCACTGCGCAAGTTCAGTTATAGGCCATCTGATATGACTGGACGATTGGAACAGTGATAAATCCAGATGAAATTAAGTATTTTTGGTGGAAAGTAATACCTATCTGTGTCTTATTTTCGATAGCTGCTGGGTGAAGAATAAGGAATAAGTTTTTGGATGATGTGAAAAGAAAGGGACAAGAAGCCGTTATTTACTGAAAGTTTTGATTATTTTTGGTTCTTTTTTCATTAGATCGAAGTGATTAGATATTTTCGGTGTGTGAGCTTTAGGAATGGACATCTCAGTGATGAGTTTTATCTTAATTTGATGTTGACCGATGGGTAGTGGTTATCATTTGAATTGAAAATGCGCGTTCTGTTCTGTTTTAGGCCTTCTAAGTGGGTGAACCCGCATTATAGCAGAGGATTTTATTCTTACTATAACATAAGACCAATACCAATTACTCCAGACTTCAAAATGTCATCCACCAAAGGGTTTGGTGTGAACACAGTTTCTTCCCTTTTTTTCCATATTTTATGTGAAAGTTTTTATTTCACTTGGCAGGTATCGGTGTCTGTAAGTTAAAATATTGTCATGAAATGAACAATTAGCGTGACACCTGTTTCATTATTATGGATGATACAATATTCCTTGAAACCTGAGTCGTGATTTTATTATGTAATTCTAGTAAGTTCGACAAAAATTAAAAATATGGAGACTAAGCAATATGGTTTAGTTACGTGCAAAATTCTTATCTTCAGAGGATTTTCATAATCTCATATTCTATGTGTGTATACCTATGAACTTAAAACGACTCCTGAAGTGTTTCACAGTTATGTTATTCGATTTTTGTTAAACTATTACATTTGAACTGGGAATAAATTTGATGGTTTTCATATGGAAATTAATCTTAACACTTTGAAGCATTGAACTTTTGTTGGTAGTGTTTCCTGAACAAAATATAAGTAGAAGGAATGCACTGAACTTTTGATGTCAAGCACCAACTACCTTAATATTTAGTATTTAGAGGAATGTAGGCCATCATACTTTTAAGTTCGTGTTAGAACATTTATACAGTCTACAGTTATCCATTAAATTGTGGTAGAAATGAGCGGGACATAATAGTGAATCTTTCAGCCAAAATGAGAGTGCGGATTTTGAGTTTCAGGAGAAATGGCCTAAAATCAACACCATATATATACATATATATATTTTCCATAAATCTGTCTTGATGTCAAAGGTCTCCTTCACTTGCCTTTTTTCTGAAACTGTTAACCTCTTTTATTCTTTAGTATCACTTATAATTCTTCCTGTGTATTGATTTTTTTCATAAGAATTTTAAGTGTTATGCGACTTGTATACTACTGCTAAAATCGAAGTGTTCTGAAGAAAATCTAAAAATGCAATGATTTCAATTTGTTGCGCGTTTTAATTATTGAAAAACAGACTTGTGAGTAGGATGTATTAAATGTGCAAACTGCAATAATTCACTCTCAGAGTTCAAGGCAAAAACAACAAGCTATATGACTAATTTAAGCGGTAGGTTTTTAAATTTCTCTCGTAATAAAGAAATTGGATAAAATACAATATCATGCATATATCGCTTCATAAAATTTGATCACAGTAGTTGAAGAGAATCTACTGAGTTGAGAATGATGAATAAGCAAATCACTGGTGATTTTTCACTTAAGAGAAGTACCACACTGGTTGTGAGAAATAATTTTTTTATTTTGATTTACAGCTTGATTCCACACCATATTTTCAGTACAAGTGTGGAATTTCAGCATGGATATCGGTAGCCCAAATTCAGCGACCATAGATATCGTGGTGTGCGCCGGCAGGGGATCGAACCCCGGACCATGTGCATGATCGTTGAGAGTCCTAACCACTGTGCCACCGACGCACAAAAGGTTTGTTTTATTGAAAATATTATAAGTAATCAACTATTTATAAAATAAACACAAGTGCACAAGAAATTATAGTTTGCTTGCAAATATAAAGTGTTGTATTGCTTTCGTTGTGAGTAAAATAGGCTGTGATAACTGTCTGTTAGCCCCGATCACTTCAATTAAATTATTTTCTCCACTTCCGTCATAAGTACGTCTAAAAATGACAGTGCTGTAAACATTAGATTTCTATAAAAACGATCGCATATATATATAAGACGGTTGCTTTATTCCTTGATAGTAGTAGTAGTATTTGTAATTGGATTGATGGAATTAAAACTTGAATTAGTCTTCATCAAGGCGTACTTTCTTATGCAGTGTAGTGTCAAAGTAATCAGCAAGCACCAGCTGCCATTATTCTTACTGTCATTACTAACAGTAAGTCTGTCAACTTCGTTCACATGTATATTATGAGTTAACCAACTCACTGAAAATTCAGAACTGTTTATTATTGTACAACAAATACGAAATTATATTATGAATAAATAATACTTGAGACTGTTATACAAGTGTATTATTTCTATCTTTTGATATATGATTACATATAAAGTGAGTAGTGTTTGCGAGATAATAAAAAAAACCGGGATATGATGGATTTCACATCTGATTTGTTTTAAAAATGAAATAGTCAATATCCTGACATCTGAAGAGGATAAGGTATTCAGCTGGTTCCGGAGGCAAACTGAAATGTAACAAGAAAAACAAACGAACAAACAAAATAACAGAATGTTGGAACATTTTTATTACTATTTTAGTGAACAGAATATAGTAACAGATTATTATTCGCTCGCATCAATGCACAAAATCTTTGATTGAACGCTAGTAGCTAGTGTGACGTGTCTAGTCTTTTCTTTGGTGCAGACTGAATTCTATCAGTCAGGTTTGTAATGTGGCCACCATTCTAGGTAGCCCGCGATCACGGTGCACATTGATTTGAAGATACTAGATAGTTGGAGGCAGTCGGCAGGAAGCCTTGCTTGACCTAGGTTTCGTGCTAGTTGGCACTTACCAGTCAGCAAGGCGTATCTGCAACCTTGAAAGAACTCATGTCCCTTCTGGGATTCGAACCTAAGTCACCTAGTGCTGCAATCAGAGATGTGATAAATGAGCTAATAGGGCTCGCGATTGACCTCCTGTAGTGGGTAGTTTGATTGGACACTAGTAGCTAGTGTGACATGTCTAGTCCTTTCTTTGGTGCAGACTGAATTCTATCAGTCTATTCTATTCTAGCACGAAACCTAGGTTCAAGGCTTCCTGCCGATTGCCTCCAACTATCTAATATCATCAAATCAATGCACAAAATCTTTTCAGTTTTAAATGAAAAGATCAAATGGGATGATTTCGTTTTCATTATCAAATGATATGAGAAGCAGAACACAAGTGTCATCAAAATATACATTCGTAGGTATATAATCTTTGGAGAAAACGTGGCAGTTATAATCGTATTTAAAGACTGAATGATAAAAACTTGAACTATGAAATGTGTAGAATCATTCATAGAATGAGTATAAATTAAGAGAATTTATCAAACTAGTGTGTTAAGTGATGCCAAAAATCATTCAAATTTAATTTGAACATAACAGCAATAATAAGATTTATTCTTCGTATCAAATTTAAACTTTTTTGATGAAGACCACTATTTAGAAAGAGGGTGATCTGTAATAATTTAGGAAATAGTTTTAGTGTGACTGTTTAAATTAGTGAAGTAATACAAGACGATGAAAGAATGTAGAATAGACCAACGGACGGTTTTTATTTCTCCATCGTAACAACATACTTTCATGTACTTTCAAACGTACTGGATAGCATCTTTTGGTTTCAGAAGACATACCTTGTTTCACAAGAACAGGTCAGCTAGTAGGTATACAAAGAGGCTTTCAAAATAGTCAGCTTACCTATCAAGCAGATGAAGATCAGTTTCTTCACTTCAGTCATAAAGAACATGCTATTAGGTACTATGGAAATAAAATGCAAAAATTGTGTCTGATACTTGATAACTTTACTATTGACAAATAAGCTGAGGATTAGTTTTCTTTATCTTTCTTTCATACATGCATTTATCAATAAAATGGCTGGCTTAACTGTTTCCATCAATAGTGAATCACAGGAAGTATTGTCCCATGGAATACACTTTAGACTGTTGATGTTTCCTATTTAGTGACAGGTGGAAAGTTTATTTTTCCAGTCTTTTTCCATTAAAGTTAGTCGATTGTTCATTCCATTTCACAGAACTGCTATTAAATCCCGTTTAAGAGTAATCAGTTTTTCTTGATTCCGCCTGTGATAGAATTCGAGTCTTCCTTTCAGCTGTTGGAAGTCATCCACATTGGTATCCTCACCAAAGATGACTTATAAGTATTTTAAATATTTTGAGCAAATATCAAATGTCTTATGATTAAACCAAGTTGTGTTGCGTAGTTTTGAAAATATAGTCCACCGATACTCCTAGTGGTGAATTTGTCACTATCTTATTTTTCATTTTAAGGGAATTCAGTACTAAAGATTAAATGAACACCAAATATGACCAGAGAAAAAACAGTTTTACAGGGAAGCTGTATAGAAATTTTGGGATCAAACTATGAGCACAAAAATAGTCATATGTAAAACAGACAGTTTAGATTATCGTCAGGTTGTTGGAAAATGAATGAGTGTTTGTTGAAAATACAACGATTTCTGAAGTATTAAAATTCATAATATCGTCAGTAAAATGAAGTCTTATGTGCATGGAACATGTGGACAGCATGCCTCTGAGTCCTTTGTCATAGAAGTAGAGCTTAAAAATCAAATAAAACACTTTTTTATCATTTACTTTTCAACTCTAAATAAAACTACATTTTCAGTCATTGTTATGATAATCTATGTTTAATTTCCTTAGGAGAAATGGTTTTTCAAGTATCCTAAATGCCAGTAATGCAGCATGATAATGAATAGAAGGTAATTATCCACTGTGAGAAGTTCAGTGTTAGACACAAGGTAGTTCATAGTTTTATTGTGTTCTCTAAGTTGGATGGTTTAATTGCATAACTTTCATTGTCTTCTTGTGTAACATTTTTCAGTGGTATCTGATACTCCAACTCCATAGTCAGTTTAGCGACGAAGATCGTGTCCAGAAGGATACCGGGGATTTCACAGTTAAACCACTCTGCTCAGACAATATAACATTAAAAAAATCCACCTGAGCTACAAATCTCCATTGTTTCAAGATGCAAAGAAGTACTGTGACTTACTTATATCTCAGTAGTTGCTGATTCTGTTAGAACACAGAATTACAATTTTTAAGTCAGTATCATTATTGGCCTTTTGGATGTGTGGAAATGTAATCGCCGATTCTCTTTTCGTTAGAATTTTGTTTTCTCTAGTAAACTTTGTTTCTTGCTAGGTGTGAATGATTATATGTATCAAACTATAATTGAAGTTGCCTATACACTAAATCACCTACACTAGTATCTCGAAACCGAAACTGAAATCCACAAATCAAATAGTGTGGGCACCGTCATTATGTGAGTGTTCCTTAATTCTTAATTGCTAGACTTGTTGATGTAATTATCATAACAGTTAAGTCAACTGAGTTTATTATATATTGCTTTTGTTTGTCAGATGTATCACACGGTGGGACAGTATTCTATTTTGTGACTTTCAAGCATGACTTAGTGTTTTGAGCCATATAGGAATTTTTATTAAAATCATAAAATCGGGTGTGCATGCAATATTAATTTGGTTATTATTTCACATGGAAACATTATTAAAGGAATAACAGTGTAACCATATATCTGATTAGTTATATTGTAAATTACTCGAGTTAAAGGATGGGTAATATTTCTTTGATATTATTATTCAAAGCGTTTTGAAGGAGATATCTTGACAGTTTGTTGTTATTTCACGGAGCAGAAATTTAATCGTACGAACAATAGCAAAAAGACATTAGCTATCTGGTAATCTTCAAATAGCCAGAAAGAATAAGTAACAAGAAAATCCGGCGACAAATCAACTAAGAGCCTATCGCTCAAGAAATATGTAGGAGAAAATGCAGATGGATCGGATATACATTGAGGAGACTGTCGGATGACATCGTGCTCAGTGCAGCCCATTGCTCAAGTGGAATCCAAATGGGAAGCAACGAGTGGATCTTCAGTGTGTGGGTGAACTAGAGGAGATCGTATCAGGAGGAGATGAGAGATTATGGGCAATCGTGGACCCAGCTGAAGAGGAGTGCAGAAAATAGAAGAAAGTGGAGATGTGTTGTTGAAGCTCTATTTTCCACCCGGAACTCAAGGGAATATTAATGGTAATAATTTTCATTTCGACGTTAATTGAAATTTCTAATTGGCCCAGAATTCATAAATGTTCTGTAGACATACAAATGATTTTTAATTTATTCCAAATACCTGTAAAATTCAGCCATCTGACAAGAGTTTGTATAAGGAATGAGATTTCGGAATAATCTTCTCCAGCTTTCTGTGTTAAGGTAAATTCAGTTTCTTTATCATATCCGAAGTTTGCCAGTAAGTTAGGTTGAGAGTGATCTTCTTAAATCAAGTGTAAAACTTAAAACAAACTAACTACTCACTTAGTTCTACTTATGTTCAGGCCTGGTACTTCCATTGGAAGGTATGTTGGTTTAAAGTTTAATAGACTGTTAGTATGATGTGTTAAGGACAAATGACATATAGTTTCATGACGCTAATAAATGTGAATTAGGACTCTCAACAAGTGTGTAGAAGTTATGTTTTACAGCAAACTTTTATTAAGCAGTTTCCAGTGTACACACATTACTTTTTAAAATGATGTTTGAAACACAACAGAGTATGGGAATATCCTAGATATTTCTATATGTAAAGTGAAAACGCAAATGCAAAGAACCATGCTGATTTCTGTGCGTTGGTGGTGCAGCGGTAGAATTCTCGCCAACCACACAGGTGGTTCTGAGTTCGGTCCCCGGTCAACGCGCTCCTTTACCTCGCTAAGCTAGTAATAAGACTAGTAAAGACGGAAAGTTGGGCATGAGGCTAGCAACCCCATCTAGTAAAAATGCACATCAGTGCCACAGAAACTTCAAGCCTCTAGCTTGGTGCCTTACGTTCCACTTCTGTTATTAGTAAATACAACGTACAACAAAAAAAATATGAATCTTATTTAGCCAGGAACTGAAGCCTCCTATCTAATAGTTTCACACTTGCTTATCTGATTTGTTTGTCTATTATGAGACAATTTATCACTCAGAGACACAATAGTAGTAAATAATAATAATAACTGTAAACTTCATTTGAATTACGACTGAATACTTGAAACATATCCATATAGTTTCATAAGAGGACATTAGTTACATGCATTATATTCCTTTATCTCTGTGGATTTACGTAAGTGTTAAGCTTTGGTTGTTTGAATCTTACTGTAGTGACAGTTTACTCATTTAACCACGACCAGGTGTAGTTAGTCTTTCAACTCAAAGGCACATCATGTAAATCCTGAAGAAATGATTTTGTATAACTTTGGCTAGGTTTTCACCACAGATCGAAAGAATTTCGTTTGATTTGGTTAACATTATATTGTCTACGAGCTTGCCTTGTAACCGGAAGGTACTGAGTTGAAAACCCAGTGGGGGCCTACTGCCGATGAGTCCCATTTTGGGATGAAACAACTGTCCAGTACTCCCTATTTTTCAGTAGTTCTCTAACTGACATCGTTCGGTTGTTTAACTTGAAAAACAAAACAAATCCTTATAAATCAACTCCTGAGAATATTGGATATCTTGAGATGAACAGTACAAAAAGGTTTCAGTCTTAAATTATATATATATATATTATATTATCACTAAAAGACCAAACGTACTACATGTAAAAAGTATGCTAACCTGTTCAAATTATAATCGATGATACATTGCCAATTTGGAGGATACTTCTGATCCAATTTCTCCTTAATAAATACTTTCATCTTTTTATGATCATTATCGTATGCATGTATTGCAGTGATAACAGTATCTATAACGAACCGATACATTTCTTTGTCCATATAAATTTTTTTAATTCTGATTGACTTTTCATATATCTTAAATCTTTTCATTATTCTTTGATCTACTATTTTAAAATAATCCGATAGTAGAAATAACACATATAAATTATAAAGCTCATCAAGTGAATTATTGCATGTAAAACAATAAAAAAACTCTTCTACAATAAAATAATGAACGACAGTGCTAATAAAGTGATAAACATACACGATAAACAGTGTGTACAAACATATGAAACTGTATAATCAGTTGTAAATTTCAGCTTAATATGATTAGAGAAGAAAGAAAGAAAGAGATTTTACCCATTGTGATTTGTTTGCCTCTTAAATTACAGCATAAATCCAGTAAATCTGATAAGTTTATAGTGCAGTTTATCACGTGCTTGAATTGCATGCTGATATTCTCAGTTGAAAGTTGAGGCAACCTATTGAAATACCTGCATTTGGTTGTTAGAAGGTTTGTAGGCACCTGTTTTTTTGTTACACTTAATTATAACAGTTTTGTTTCCCATTAATTGCTTGAATTTCTGTGCAGTTGTGTAAAGGCTTATAATACTACCTACCTACCTACCCAATTGATGTTGAATATAGTATGGAATGATGTTAGGAACTATCACTGAAGCTATAGTCTGTTTAAAGATTGAACTAGTATCGACTATAAGTATGAAAACGTCAACAGTCACATTTCACATACTTTTTGTACAAAATATAACTCCAAGTTCTAAATTGTGCTATATTTTTCTTCGCAAGGTTAACTCAGGTGGCGAAATCAATGGGATCTTTTCTATACACAATAAACAGATAAATAGTGTTGATGAAGCAACTTATGCATGTTAGTACACTTCTTAATGGTAATTGGGATAAGTACCGTTGATACCAGTAACCTGACTAAATAAACCTTGTTAGATGAAGGGGTGTCGAGCCCCTGACTTAGTGGTTGAAGTAGAGCACTTAAACTGATGAGTTACTCCTAAATGTATTAATAACAAGTATAGCATATTGAAAAGTAAATTTAAATGGATCACTTGGAAACAGGATAGTCATTGAGCGTTTCATAATTCTTATTTGTATTCATCTGTTAAATTTTGTCAGGCTGATTATACACCTACTTCAATTGTATATTTTGTTCCACTTCATTTTCAGAGTTTCTTACTCATGTTATGTCCTTGACAGTTGAACAAGTTGTCAGGAAAATTTTATTTGCTTCAGAAGGATGATGAAAGCTTCTTGTTTAAATTACAGAAATATTTCACGAAGTATTGCGCATAAATCTATCCTGCGAGAGTCTTATCGGAATATTTACCCACCACAATTCTTTTGAGATTTAATCTCCTAACCTGAGGCGAGGATTATGTTATGGAGCTTAAGACAACAGGAAAATTAGACGATAAATTTAAATAGTGTATTATTTACTCACTGTGAATTTGTAAACTTGGCTTTAGAATTGGAGGCATAGTTTCAGATTTAGCTGCTTAAGAATTTGGTTACATCTTTGATTTTCGATCTGTAAATGACTGAATCTGTGACTGATATGCTACGCTATTACCAGCTTGATTGGATGTGTACTAGTTAAAACAAAACCTAAAACACCTAGAGTATGCGCAGGTGAACTAGAAGTTTATTTGGTTAGTATTTAGATAACTCATTTTGATTTACTTATTTTGGCTATAAGTTTATTTTAGTTTTTAGAAGGACGTACTGTGGATCCCTCGTTATTTTCTGCGAATAAAGTATGAAGGAAGCTCGAATCTTTGGGCGAAATTTCAGTGTTAATTTCATTTACAAATTTAAATTCTTTCCCGTGTTTAATGAGCCTAACCAAAGCCCTCCAAAGCAGAGAAGTGTAATCCTGAGTTTAGTCGATACAAGTAATTCAGAACTCTCAGTATTGTGATGATAAAGTCTGAGTTAGATTCATTACAATAATAGCAGTTCGTTTCGACTGCTATCTTGTCCCATCTTTTCTAATTACATTTGGATTAAGGAAAGTAAAGTTATTTTGATGTTTTTCTGCTTGAAAATACCATGCAGAATAAACGAAGATGAGCAGATGTAGCACTATTACAGTAAACGAACTAAATAAACCTTACAAGTTGTCATTTGTGGTATCTCATTGTTTCCTGTAAGAAATCCGTTAACGTACAATCGCCTTAGAAACTAAAAGTTGACAGGTTTTGTGGTTAAAGTAGTCTACATATTAATAAATTGTCAGATTTATTTATTCAAGTGTTGGTTTGCAGGGATTTGATTGGTTTCAGGAGTTCATCTTGAACTGACATCGGTTGGATGACCTTTGGAAAACCTGGGAGGACAGCTATTTCGCCATAGTTTCGGACTCTTCAGTAGTGCTCACTCACTGAGGATTTATTTATATAATCGTCAAATCACTCTTATTAAACATAAAGTTAGACTAGTAGGTGTTGTATAAACGACTAAAAGCAAGTCATTCAGTAGCTGATTTTTTTTCTGGGTGTGTGAATCTATAAATGTGAAAGTAATTAGAAACATCATCTCATAATATTGTTTCGCAAAGTGCTAGCAAGAATAATATTTCTAACAAGTAAGACAAGATGGCTTTGTAAGTCATCACCCCTGATTTTTCATGCAGATGACTGGGTTTCATTTATACATAATACTTAAAGTTGGGGGTCGTATTTTATTTCAGGAGGGCCTCCGATGACACATCACCTTTCAGGAATCGTAATAAAGCTCAGAAGCTGTCGAGGAGATGATTAATAGGGCATAAATTAAAAATATTCTGACATATGAGACGGTGAATAATACTAACGCGAGAGTAATTATTAATTTCATGTGTATCTTGTGGTTTAGTTGTAAAACTAGTGCTTTTCATTATACAAGCTTAATACTCCCTGTAAATAAGTTATTTTTTCTTATTTTTATGGATGATAACAAAACGACTGGTGAATCAGCTTGATTTCTGTGATTAAATTGTACGTTTTTATAAAACATCCTCTGTTAGTTGGAATAGTGGAACGCAGGGCTTCAAGCTAGAACTTTGAAGTTTCGGTAGCAATGGTGCTTGTTTTCACGGGGTAGGGTTGCTAGCCTCATACTCAACCTTCCCTCTTTACCGGCTTTATCACTGGCCTAGAGAGGTAAAGGAATATGGCGGCCGGGAATCTAACTCCGAACAACATGCTTGGTTGGACAGCATTCTACCGCTCTGCTACCGACGCACTAAACATTATCAAGGCCAGGCGCATGCATATAGTCCACAGCCTTCTTCAGACCTCACACACAACCATTAGGATAAGTACTTAATTTAACATTTTCATGGTTAAGTTAGCTTCATATTTTTTCATTATTATGTCAACTCGATATTACCATTTTCACGCAGCTGAGTTTTGTTGGACACAAGTTTTGTTTCAAAGTAATATAAGTCATGTTTTCCTTGTACAAATAAATAAAATATTTTTTGAGAACGGAAATTAAATTTATTGTTACAAGAATTCTTTATTTTTTATTTTATTCCTTTGTGTTCCGAGTGGGACATAGGGCTTCAAACTTGAGCTTTGAAGTTTATATTTTTTTAGGTGGTGGGGTTGCTAGCCTCACTGCCAACTTTCCCTCTTTGTAGGACTTTCAGCTGGCTAAAGGAGGTAGAGTTGTGCGTCGGCGGGGAATCGAAACCCGGACCACGTGCATGGTTGGTGAGCATTCTACCGTTGAACCACCAACGTGCATTGTTATAAGATAGACAGATATTGTACAAAACTTATTTAGTTTATCATGAAGTGAGGAGATATGAGTTTACTGGTTTAGTTATACACGAAATTTAGGTAAGCAAATTTTTTTCATTTAACACCTGATCAACTTCCGGCATGAAAATCATTTTGTTCAATAAGAATTTTATATTGGTTGAATGGCACTCTGTTCTTGTGTTTTATTTTATGTAAAAATAAGCATTGAGTTAAGTAAATGTTAAACCCTTAGGAACTCATCATTTTAAAAGCTAATTCTTCGGCATATTTATGGAGCGATAGATTCTCGACTCGTTTGTCCCCAGAGACTTTTGTTGCTGGTTCTTTTTGGCCATTTGATCTTCAACATGTATCCAGCAAAGACAGGTGTTGATAAAAGTCTGCAACCTTTTGGAAATGCTGTGTGTAATGCGTTCACCATGTTTCTGACTAATATAAAAGAAATGACAACACTGCTGTTGAAAATTCAAGTTCTGTTCTTTATGATTGGTGCAGGAGGTTTCCATACCGATTTCAGAGTGAAGAAGATCTGTTTTGCTTTTCTGATTCTGCTTTTGACACCCTCATTTGTGTGGCCACCTGTAGTTGAGACTATGCTTCCTAGATATATGTAAGAAATGACCTCGTTCAAATTTCTCCCGATGATAGTGATTATTGCTTGTCGTTGTTGTTGTTATTGGTTGGTCATCTTCATACCTCTGTTTTATCCCTGTTAACTTGAATTCCTGTTTTGTTGCTTATTTTGACAACTTGTTGGTTTTTGTTTGTAAGTCTTCATAAAGTTTTCCTGTCAGCCCAAAGTGTTACTGTTTTCTCACTTCACATAGTCTTCCACATAACATAGTCCATCACAATTGGTAATATCATCAGTGATAGTAGGCAGCCTTGTCTTACTCCTGTATTCACTTCAGAGGCTTCGCTGAATTTTCCGAAAGATGAGCTTTCTCAATTCTTATGTGGAAAGTAAACATTAGAATAATACACTCTTTACTCAATAAGGCTTACACTGGCTGCTTTGAAGACTTTTTTTCAATAAAGTTTATTTATACAACAGAAAATCTGTGTAAGGATTATTAACTGTTTCTGTTACTTTTTAGATTGTCTGACTATAAGGCGACGACTATGTATGGTATGAAACTTAGAGCGAGTTAGACCGAGTACAAAGGGAATATATTTAAAAGAATACTTTGAATTATTAAAATTGTATTGTTTCACTATAGACTTAAGAATATTTGGCCTACACATTACAGCAGTATCTTTTAAATACCTTTTATTAAGTGAAGTTTCACTTTCTTTAATAGTTTGTTGTACTTCTTTTAGTCTAAAGGTAGGTGAACTTGAAAAAAACACCTCTTAGAATATTTAACCATATTGATCTACATATTTATTCGCAGTGAAATGAAACAACTGGAGCTTTTATAACGTGTAAGACCTTGGTGTAACAAAATATGGTGTAATACACTTATTGGGAGGTTTATAGTTAGCCGCCTTCAAGCTTGAAATGAGAACTGGTCATAATGTAAGATATGTAACTTTATTTATACGGAAAAGGATCAGAACAGATTTGCGGTGTTGTCAAAACACATCTGTGGCGCAATAACCGTCGTGACGTCTTATTAAAAACCCAACAGACGATAAAATCTACTGATTCGTATAAGTGAAATAATAGATCAGTGCTTCTGAATAAGTTTCATGGAGGCATAACGGTTAGATAGCAAAATTATTTCAGGTATAAACATCAGTTCCACAGTTTACAGTACAGTGTCTGTTGATGAAGAGCAAAGAAACTGGTTGTTATGTGTTTTTCTCAACACATTTCAACAAATTCACGTCTCAGAAGATTAAACAATAATATAGATTCACTTTAGACCCAAATGGAACCTTTATTATTTGAAGTAAACTAAATGTACATTTGTCTTCTGCTCACACTTACATATACAGTTGAGGTGTTCGCCTTATTGTTCAAGCAGATGTTAACGTTTAACAGACTGGTGAGTTATTGAAGTTTAGCTATAAACTTAATACATTTTATTTATTCACGTATATCATCTCTCACAGTGTGAATATGTATGGAGTCCGAATGGACATTCCTGATAATCTACTGAGTTTGAATAATCTAAATCCCAAACCAACGATCCGGTATATGCATCATTTTGTTAAACATAATATCAGTCCTGAAATATTCACTGTCAAAATATTAGTGTCTCCAACACAAAACATTCGATTTTTGCTTAGTAAGCCATATATTAGAAATGATTTTTTTCAAAAGGGTGTACACTTATATTTGTTACCTTGAGAAATCAAAAATTTTAAGTGTATCACAAAGTAATACCAACTCAAAAAAAATGTTGGTAAAAATGTTTTTCTATTGATTTGACCGGTTGGTTATACTAGACAAACTGTTGAAAGTTGGTCAGTTTCCTTTTAATTTCATAGGCAAAAATCTGGGTTATATTTTTGCTTGAAAGCATATCAGATGTTTGCAAGTCAGATGGTATCTACTTTAATCGATTTATATATTTTTATCAAGAATCTAATTTACTCACGTATCTTTTAAAATTTTTATTTCACGTGTGAACACAATTCCAAAAGCGAATAGCACATAAATTGTAACCAATTATTACTAGATTAGACAGACCTAGTTTCAGATATATAAATAAATGATGTTTACCACAGACCACATAAAGCTCACTTGTTGGTAATTACTATCGTAATAAGTATCATTTAATTTTCTTCACAGTATTGAACACTATACACAATCGACACGAGATGCCTGTAGAGAAATCTAGAGCAGTAATAGAGAAATCAGATATGGTACCAGAAATGGAAGAGGATGCTGTTTATGTAGCCTCAAGTGCAATGGATAAACACAGTGTTGATATGCATATTGCAAGTTTTATTAAACATGAATTCGATCGTAAGTACAAAACAACTTGGAATTGTATTGTTGGCAAAAATTTCGGAAGGTTAGTGACTGATTAGTTTCATATCTAGTGTGTATTTAACTGATTTAAAAGTTATGTCTGTATTCTATATTAAGATATGAAAAGGACTTAATTAATTCGAATAAAAGTGTGTCGAGAGTCTTTTTTTATTGGACATCTTGAATAATGTGATGATGTCTGTATATTACCCGCCATCTGTTGAAATAATAGGGAGGATTTGTAGCTTGGCGGGATAATTTTGAATCAGTTGTGTTCTCTGAGCCGCCGTCCTTCTGGACAACATTTTCACCGCAGGTTTTAGTATACTAAAGCCAGGACGACGAAAGCTTCGCAAATATACTTGCCAGCTCAGAGAACACAATTAATTCAAAAACTCGCCATATGTGTTCAGGTACTTGGCATTAATAAGAATTTAATTGATCTTTCACTTTGTTTTATTTATTTTTTTAGCTTTATACATCATGAAAAGGGAGGATTTGTAAGCTTCCGTTTAAATGGATACAATATTCTACTTTTCAAATTGGGATAAAATGAAAATGACATTCTGTTGGGTGGTTTTATGCAACTGATTGGAATTTGTGCGGTTATTTATTTATGGATGAATTATAGAGGTCATTTTATTTTTTTCTTTTATCATATGTTATGCATATATTCAAATAAGGTTTATCCTAAAATATATCATAAAAAATATAAGTATTATGCGGATACTACTTTTTTCTACTGTAGTTCTTGGCTGTTGCTTAGGGAAAGATATTTAAAGAATGCTTAAGCTACTGCAAAGAAACGGGATTAAAAAAGCCATAAATTGCTGAAAGACATGATGAGAAGAAACCAAGATTTGGTCTTCATTGAGGACGTCATATAGGTTCAGCTATCCAAAACATATTTAGAAATTCATCAGGCTTAAGTAATTTTGAAACGAATTGTGTTATTCCATGTTAGTTAAGTATGGAATATTAGATACTAGGTAAATTAAGCACCGGTGGCACAGCGTTAGAATGCTCGCCGACCACGCATGTGATCTGGGGTTCGATCACTGGCCGACTCACTCCAATACCTCACTAAGCCAGTAATAAGACCGGTGAAGAGGAGAAGTTGGGCATGAGGCTACCGATCCCATTCCGTAAAAATAAACACCACTGCTACCGAAACTTCAGGCCTCTAGCTTGAAGCCTTGTGTTCCACTGGGACTGTTAAGGAATAAGAAATAAGTTAATTTTAAATACCATATCGAAACTGATATTATTATGAGCAATAATTTATGCTCAAAACGTCATTTGTTTTGAGAAACCCATTAAGTCCACATAAAGTTGATTGCATGTTATGTGAACGAAACATTATATTTATATTTACAATATGAATCCAAATCAGTTAGAGAATGATTGAAATAAGGACCACTGGCAACCTGTTTCATCCCAACTTGTGTCTCTTCAGCAAAGTACACGTACAATCTTCGCTTTAAGAGGCTAACCGGTTGGTCATTCAGTCAGTGTGTGTAAAATTCAATGGACTGAGGCTATCTTCTCACGATATAGGCTTACCACCAGTCATTAGCATCGATGAACATTCACCTCACCCTAACATGTTAGACTGCGCCAACATATGTATATATGGGGAATTAGTGTTTTGAATTTTTAGGATATGTGGCGCATATAACTGAAATAAGCTGCACTAATGTTTGTCCTATCCCTGTTGAAGTTTATAAAGGGGAATTTGTGTATGAAACTCAAATCAAATTATCTTTTGAATAGTAGACACATGAGAAGAATTATTTAATTTACTACAGAATCTTATGTTTCGTTTTTGAAATGAACATTTTCTTAGTAAACCTTTTGAAAATCCAGGGAAACCAGATACATTAGCTTTCCCGGGTAAATAAAATGAACCAAAACTTGAAGGTATACCAGTAATTCCGTATTTGGACATTCAGTATTTCGCAGTACGGGCTACACTTAATCTGATCTAGTGGTCATAAGGGAGTTCAGTTTAATTACCTACCGTTATAGAATCAGTATCTAATGAATACAGAACCACATAGCCTATAGGTTGAAAGCCTAATTCATTTGCCGACAGCTGTGCCTTATCATACGGTAGGCTTGTTAGCCTTACATTTAGTAACATGGTGGAAATTCATACATTTGTTTCCCGTCGGTGAGTTCGAACAAATCAAGAACAACAAAGTGACCAGAATAATATCATATCGTTTTATTTAGTCGATTCTTATCTAGTGGGAGTTCAAGTTATAAGAATTTTTATGTGGTGACCCTAATTTCATCTAAAATGAAAATTTGTGATAAGGGGAGTTTATAAATGAATCAAAAGCTTACCAGGATTACATTAAAGATTGACATTCTTGAGAAAGTTTGCAAATGACAAATATCTTGTGTTCTGATTAAAGCTTATTATTTGTAAATAACTGAAAATTCTTATAAAACTTCATCCTTTGCTGAAGTTCTTACTTATTTGATAGGTTTTTCCTCTTGTCCTTATTCGCATATATCCTGATCTCCGTAAATATCCAAATGAACTAGGAGTCGTACTTGTTTTAATCTAAAGTCCAAAACAACTGATTAGAATAAAGTTCAGATTTTAGTCACCAAGTTATCAAATACCATGACAATTGCTGTCTCACTCCAATTTATGTTGCTACACGCAGTAGATAACCAGGACAGTACCTTTTTCTCCAGTGACTAACTTGGAATTAAAACTCACTGAGCCTCGTTGTTCAAGTTAGTACCTGTGGCTGTTTAGTTAATAATATAATGTCAATCTGGGACAATGTTTGCAGTTTGCAGAATCGCTGTAAAGTTTTCGCCAACATTCAAATAATAAGAACAGGGAAACAGGGAACATATGGTTGCTAAATAACATTAGAGATTTAAAATACACAGCGTAATTAAATTAAATTGGAGCAACTAACCGTCTTTCAAACTCTAGTAAGCCAGTATTCTTTAGGTATGGGGTGTGTGGGATTTTAATTCATACCCAAGTATATCAAAAGCATTGAGATAAGGTTTTAATTTTGATTTGGCTGATAGTGACTAAAAGTGGAATCCAGGATGCGTGATTTTTCCTAGTTAGGACTTGTCAGCTGCATGTACCTATGTTTCCACTGAGTATTATTGTTTCCTCTGAGACTCGAACTTTGGAAACATAGTTTCAAGCGTCGAAATGGTCCAACATAACCAGTTAAAGGGAAATGCAAATTAACCTAAAGACCAATAAAGTTGTAATTATCTATCTGATAATTTCCTATCTTTAATTCTGAATTTGAAGTATTCACCGGTTTACCTTTAAAGAAGAATATCACATTTAGAAGGCGAATTATTAATTAATGAGTAATTCATAGGATAGATAATGTTGGCCTAGCTGTCTCACATTTTGTTAGTTTTTACTAAGGCGTTTCAGCAAGTGGCAAGTAAACTTTAGAAATCACTGAGTACGGCTTTACTTACTAATAACCATTTCAGTAGCTAGAAAAAACTTGGAAATTTGCAAACAGGAGTTATGTCGAGTGAGTGTTCATAATAAATTTGGTTTTCTAATAGTTAGTACTTGCACTGAAAAATCTCAGAATTTTCATTACTTGAGGATATCCTCATTGGATTTATAGCCTTTCAGATGCGTTTGTATTCACATTAAATGTTTCAGCTATCAAACGTTAGTGTAAAATGTAAGATGTAATTAAGGAACTTCAATAATGAATCAGGATAGTCAAGAAAATCTGGTTAATGTATAGATAAGTCATACTCATGCTAGACTCAGAATCGCCTTTTGCAAATGCAGCACTAATGGGCTCATCTGAGATCAAGCAGAACTGCCTTAAGTTGTCTAGATTACTTCCATTCAGCTAGTAAGTACTAGTGGTTTAAATGAGTGGTTCCCAGCTACCCATATGAATCAGTAAAACATGCTACCACTCGTGTCTAACCATGGAACTGGTGGGGTCATAAGCCTGCATTCTTTCAAAAATATAGGAAGTGCTTTTAAAACAACAGTTTTCTCAAGATTTGGAAAGGGGTTGTAGCTTCTTTGTCACTTGTATAAAGCCTTAGGAAACACTTTGGGTGGACGTAATGTTTTCGATATGATATTTAATTTCTAAGCTAGAATTATTTGAATTGAAAGACTGATAATATTGTGATTTTCACCACTGGTAGAGCTCAGAGAGCAATTTTAGCATTATATCCAAATTGTAAGCTAAATGTTTCACTTATCATTTAAATTCAGTGTGTTTCATTTGAATCTAGGACATAAAGTTATCCGAAAATAGTTTGGGAAATCGTACGGCAGTCAAGATAATAAATTCGCTTATCCATACGTTTCAGATATTAGAAACACAACAATACATTGCTGCTTTTTAAATCAGTTTCCTGAAAACCTTTTTGAAGAGATTTCTGATATTCATCCCTTCTAATTCTCCTTCCAAAGAAATCTTAAGTGTCTGCTTCTGTTTGTTATGTAAATATAGATTGAAAATAAACACAAATCGATTTAGTGATTCAATATTTCTTTAACTTATTACTTTCAAAAGGCACTTAATACTCCTTATGCGCAAAGCGTAGGAGCAAGTAATCAAAGTAATCATAAGCCGCATTAATTTACATTTTAAAAGTGAGGCAATGTTCTGAATCAGATAAAGAGGTCATACTTACTTTTGATTTCCTAAGACAAAACTGCAAAAACAAAACAGATGAGAAAAGGCTACAAGATTTAATAGTCAAATATTCATAGAACAAGAGAACTTATGTCATAATCTGCGTTTGATGTAGATAGTGGTGTCAAATTATACTTTAAATTTGAAGAGTGCTGAGGTTTTTATGTAAGAATTCACTTTTGTATCTCATAGCAGCAAATGTTGATAACCATTAAGTTACTTTAGTTATGTACTTTATTATTGACATGAGTTAACAAACGAAAATTAGACGTACAGATGGTATTAGATGTATGTTGTTGTTAACAGGTTCACTAGTATGCTGTGTTTGAAATTTACGACTTTAGTAGAAGCAGTAAGTTACTCTGTCTTTATTAAGTATAGGGTTGATCACAAACTGACATTAGTTACAGAACCATTATTAAACCAGGGAGTACTAGGCAGGTGTTTCGTCTTAATTTGGGGCTCCCTATCAGTAGGCGTCCACTGGGAAGGTTTTGGGTTTGAACTTCGGTAGTTGTAGTATTCAGAACTACTATCTCAAATTGACATTCTTTAAAAAACGCTTATCAAACTAACGTATGATTGGGAGCTAAGCAGTGCACTTAGATAAAATTATTTTAAGTAGAATTCAAGTGACGGTGAACTCCAGGTATTGGAACATATATATAGCTTCTGAATTACAACATGCACAATTTTTGATAAAAAAATCATCTGACTTAGATTATTTTTCTTTGATGTGTGAACCACAAGAAGCATATTTCATTCATTTCTCCAGTTGCAGTATTTTATGAATTCTAAGGACGATTTTGGCGAGACTAAAATCACCATGCGTTACCATATCCGAATTCCTAAGGTTTGAATGTGGATAGAATCGCTTTCATCACACTGACATAAGCGATTGATTATACGACTGTAAAGAATTTAAATAGATCGTATTAGCTGGAGGCATGAATAAAATGAATAACAAAATCTGTAGTTCTCTGATGAAAGTATTAATGAAACACCTGTTAGAGAACTACTAACTAATACAATTACAGATTGATGCGG